GGCCCCCCCCCCCCCCCAATGAATTGCATCCTGTCCAGCCCTTCTGCCCATGAAGGTGGGAGTGAGGCACCCACATTTACAGCCCCCAACATACGCTATTGGGCCTCACTCCCACCTTTATGGGTGGAAGAGCTCTGCCCAGCCAGCAGCTTCTAGGCAGGGCTCCTGCTGCAGCCGGAACCTGTTCACTGGGGACAGCAGGTAGGGATGTGGCAGGGCCGGTGAGGGGGCGTGGAGTTGCAGTTGGGTGGGAGTGCGGTGTGGAGCCTGCACCTAGAGGGACAGTGGCAATGTGGAGCTCAGCTGGGCAGGGTGTGGGTGCGACGGTGGGGAGTGTAGGGACTCCCCCGCCCCCCCAACTCCTATCATGACGTGCAGCCCCCACTGCTGGTGGCAGCAGGTGGGGAGGTCAGGGTACTTGTGCCCAGTGCAGGCACCCAGTGGAGCATGGCTCTGGCCAGCACTACTCGGGGGATGGGGGGGGAGTGGAGCCTGGCTTATCTCCAGGGCTACATGCTGTGTGCTTGCAGCTCCGCAGGGGCGATGCTTAGGGGGTGCACGTGCATCCCCTACTATATGCAATCCCTTCTATATACAGTACACAATCACAAGTCATGACAAATATTTTTTATGATAAAATTAAAATATATTATAGTAGGTGTTTGACTTCTAGTGTACCGTTTGTTTTTTTTTTCTGGTTTTAAGATGGCAACTCCCCCTCCCAAAAGGAATATTGGAGAGGGCAGCAAAGGGAGGACTTCTGCTGGCAAAGGCCAGGGCTTAGAGGGCAGGACTTCTGGTCCTGATGTGGTGACTAGTGGGCAGGGCAACTGTCAAGAGATGGGGCTGCCTATGCAGCCCCCGACAGCTTGCCAAAACTTGTTAAGCGGTCCTCCACCCAAAATAATTGCCCACTCCTGTGTTAGAGCCTATTACCTTGTGCCAGGTTGGTATTCAGCTGATACTGAAATGCCCGTATCTCTTTTGATTACTCATAAATTAGGAGCTTTTAACTTACTTGTAGTACAGGCAGAACAGGTTAGTAGGAAATGTTATTAGAATGGCGGTTCAGACAGACATTTTATAATAAGGATGATTGTGCTGGTTGAATTATGAGCTCTAATTCCCTGATACTGAAGCTGTGCTTGCAATTGCAGAGAGTATCTCTAGTAAAGAACTTGTCAGTGATTAAGGCATTAAAATGCTAATTTAGTTATGGAAAAAGATGAGTTTTTGTGGAAATCCATGCATCTTCACATAAGCATTGAAGGTTTCATTTCATAGCATGTGATAGTAAGCACTTCACATTTTCTTGTGTGTGTCTTGCAAGATGGACCATTAATCCTGCCCTGCTGCTGAAGCTAGGCCCAGGTAATATTAAAAAATGGAGTAAAAAAGTCAAGCTAACAAGCTGTGTTTGTGACCAAGGAATGAGCTTTAATGTTTCGAACAAGTCATGCTTTTTCCATAGAAATTCAGCTTTTTCCAGAGATTTTCCATTGTTCAGGTTTTAATCAGTGAAGGGTCACTAAGAATGCAGCATTAAAACCCAAATACTAGTCCCCATCCCTCGGAAGAACATCTACAGGTTTCCCTCGATTTACGCTGGATCTTTATACGTGAATTTGCTCTTATGTGATGTGCATATTTAGACCCATAATTAGGTGAGGTAAATTTGCTCTTATGTGATCAGCATAGATGCTCCCCCCACCCAAGCAGGTGAGTTTGGGGGGAGAGGGGAAAGGGCCATGGCCGCACTAACCCCAGCCCCGGCTGCAGCAGCCCTGGGAGTGGCCAGCTCCAGCTGCCTGCACCAGGACATGGCGGAGCCCAGGAGCAGAGGTGAGTGGGGACAGGTGGAGCACAGTGCAGCCCAGTGGCTGCAGGCAGCTGGCGCCAGCTGGTCCCAGGGCCACTGCAGCCGGGGCTGGGGTGAGTGCCACTGCTTCCTCTGCTTTGCTGCCTTGTGCAGCCCCAAGAGCGGCACCCCCCCCTCCATCCCTTCCCTAGTCCCAGCCTCACTTCCTCCCTCCCTCACCACCATGGGAACTATCCCTATTTGTTACATTGTAAAGTGGGTTTGCTTTATGCTAATTGGATTAAAGTGCTGTTCTCCGGGAACGCATGCACAGCATAAATTGAGGGAAACCTGTATCAGAAAGTCTTTCCCGTCTGGTACAAATTAGAATGAGACCCATTCTGTCCCAGCAAGATTAATGGAGTATATTTATATTTGTGTTTTAAAATTTCTGCAAAAATTTGACGCATCATTTCAATTACTGGAGTTACTACTGTTGTAGCTTCATTGATTTTACCAGACTAATGACACTTCGGATCTGCCTCCATGACTTACTGGCTTTGAATAATTTGAAATGCTAAGGTTTGGTTGTAAAGACTTTTAAAAGGAGAAGCAATGATATGATATAGGGCAGCGTGCATCAAGAAGTAGTGATGTGTTGGGGGGGTGGAAAGTCAAATGAACCATAACTAAATGATTAAAATAAAATACAACTCCCAAGACCCATTGTTGACTATCTTAATGCAAATAAAGGTATACTTCTTGTTAGTACAGTCTTTCTCAGGTAACTGCTTTACAAGTGATCCCATGTTTGTTATTTTTTTAGCCAAACATTGATAAGGATACATGCTGCAAACTAAGATGGGAAATCTAAAGAATAACATTTAAAAATACAGTTTTTTTAAATGACTTTTTAAGGTTAACATGCAATACACAGGCACATGTCAAAAGAATTAAGGGTGTAGTGACAAGCACCTGTATCTAGTTCAAATCCTTTTATTAAGATTGCTTAAATATTTATGCTGTGTCAGGATAAAATCTTCTTACTATCATTTCTAAAGTATCATTACACTGAATCTCACATTATGTGAGCTGTAGAGCAGACCTCGAGACAATTACATGTTAAGATTAGTACTGACCATGCTGTTGTATTTTTTGGGGTGCATTGTCTTACAGTTAATTTACTTTGATGGGAAAAAAAAAATTGTTTGAGATCCCGAAAACCCTCTTGAAGCCTGTTCCTATGGAGCCAGCCCAGTAGAGGTTTAAGTTTGGAAGAATTTATGAAACAAGGTGTTTCAGGAGACAGAGAGCATCAAAAGGTTTTACTGGGCTCTTACTGGCTCAAATAGGGACATGAGTCTTTTTGCAAGTAAATGGCAGGAAATAGACTCAAGGCAATAGAATTGTACATGCTTCTCTTCGGTATATCTGGCCAAACTTATTTTCTCCTTTTTCGGTTTTCTTTTTGTATTATCTTAAACCAGCTGCATTGTTAATGTGCAAGGACTGGTTGTTTTTTATAAGACACTTTTTTGTTTCTTTTGAAATAGAAAGATGAAAACTACAGAAGCCTACCACGGGATGCTAGTAGCTGGTCTAACCAGTTTCAGAGAGACAATGCTCGCTCATCGTTAAGTGCCAGTCATCCCATGGTGGACAAGTGGCTGGAGAGGCAAGAACAGGTAATATATATGCATATATATATATTACTTTATCAGTCTAACCTTCATGCTGGTCCACAGATAGTACAAAGAAATATATCCCTAAATTATATTGGCTCTGGAAATATAGCTACGAGCATTACATGTCTAGCAAATAAATTTTTATAGTGGGATTCCTCTGCTTCCAAAAACTACATTAGCACTGAAAGTAGAAAGCAGCAAACAGCATCTCATTTCGAGTCATACACCTGTTTATACAGTCTGTGGAGTGTTTTGATGAGCGCTGATTTTCTTTTTTCTTTCTACTTTTCTTCTCAGTTGAGATCCACAGGCTTATTTTACTTAGAAACTGTTATCTTGAAATATACTTTAATGACAAAAAATTATGTTACCCTTGTCCCCCTCCCCCAGAATAATTATGAGTTAGTTTTGCATGTCCTTTTAAAATGATTTTTATTTTCAAATCAGCAATATGTCTTTTATTTATAGTTTTATAGTTATAACTATTGCCTTTGTAAGCTCTATATTGAAATGACTAGTTTTAATCTTGTTTCTTTTAAGATAATAAATAATTATGTGATGTTTTCCCTTCATTTTAAGAAGCTTGTAGTTATGGAAAGTTAAAGTTTTAATATGAAGCTCAATATAACTAGATGTCAACATTTGCTTGATGAGTTCCATGCTCAATAAAATCCAAATGGCACACTTAATTGTTACTGGGAGCTATTTACTGATAGAATTATATCAGTATTCTGGTACTACAATAATGAATCTGTTTTCATTACAAAATAGTTTGGGCCAGACTTTCAGAAGTGTAATTGTATTGTTTCCTTCCTCTGAATGAATATTCAGTTTGGTCATGGATGCTAATGGTCATTTAAACATTTAACTTTATCATTTTCATATACAACTACAACACTTGAAAGGTAATTATAATTATTTTAGACTCATTAGAACACGAATTCATGGACATATTTACAAATTCCAAGGCATGTGCATTGCTTTGAAAATCTAAATCTTTAAAGAAATTGTGTTAAGGTACACGCTTTGAGTATTTCATTATTTTCTTTGCTGCTATGTACTATGATCTTTGACAAATGATGAACAGAATTAATTTGAGTATTCTGTAGCCAGCATTCCCACTAAGCTGTGTAGTGCGTGCAGCTGCGCAGGTGTGCTCATGCGGTGTTGCCATGCACACCACACAGCTTAGTGGGAATGCTGTCTGTAGCTATTATCATTGTACAATGTATTTTGCTTCTATATGTATTTCTGTGCCTATATGTCTCTGAGTGTGCTGTATATTTAAAACTTGGCATTTACACTGTGCATGGGGGGAGAGTTTTTTAATGGTTTTGCTATGGAGTTTCTCCCACGTGCAGTCTCCCCAGTAGTTCCCTTTCCCCCAGCCATTCTCTACCACTTGGTTTCCCCTGGCCCTGGCCTTCAGCAGGCTGCAGCTCTGACTAGGGCCACAGCAGGCACTGGCTCTGGGGTGGTACTCAAATCCAAATGAGTGTTTTTGAAAAAAATTGTTTTGTTTCTTTCCATGTTGAATGGTGGGGGGACCCATTTCTTGTATTCTTTGAGTATAGATAGCAGTATACAAAAAGCCCACAGTCTTGCATTGTTACTAAGTTATAGGCCGTCCAGTATTCTGGAATATTTCTGTATAATGCAACATGAAGTTGTTCATAAAATAAGTATGGAATGTTTCATATTTAGGTTAGTAGTTTATGAAAATATCATTTGTATAAACAGCGATAAGACTTCCAGGAAAATGTAGCATTTGATCCAAACCAAAACTCTGGATACAGGTTCTTTGGGGGAAAAGGGTTTTACAAACTTTTTTTTTGTTCATGTCTTGCAGTTGGCCCCTTATCAGACTGATGAATCAGATTGGTAGCTGGAATCCAAACACTCCCATAGGCACTCCCAAGGGTGCTATGTGAATCCTTTTAAGGGTGCTGTGGCGTGTCATGCAATTTCACACCGTTAGCTGTGAAAACACATTGGACCTGTTGTGGTCTTTCTGAGTTCTTTGCAACAGAAGAATTGCTCTATTTTTCCACAGTAAAAAAAAAAAAAAAAAAAAAAAAAAAAAAAAAAAAAAAAAAATAGTGAAAACTAAATGCTGGCATCCAAAGGGTGCCTTGAGTCTATGAAAGGGTGCCTGAAATCCAAAAAGGTTGAGAACCACTGTTTTAAGCAATCTCTTATTACAGACTTTTCATGTTTGATTTTTTTGAAGCACACTTCCCTGAGGCATTCTCGTTGTAGTAGTTAAATGAACTGTATTATCAGCAAAAACAATTGAATTAGGAATCTTAATAACAACCTTTTGCAGCTACTTCCACATTTTAGTATGACGTGAACATCTATTTTCAAATAAATACTTTATTTTGTGATGTTTTTCATAAGGTAGTAACCAGATCACATTCTTTTACCACTGTGGTAAATAACTGAGTTCTGGATAGTACTAGCAAAGCCTGTTTAAATTACCTCTAACTGATTAATTTCTGTACATTTCGTGTGTCTTCTGAGCAAGTTTTTTTTTAAAAAAGAGAGACCATTTATTAAATTTGATGTTAATGAGTCTGCATGTACCTGGAAGAGCAGGATCCTTTTGTGATTTCATATCACCAGGATAATTAATTAGACTGAAAACCGTTTAACAGGGCATGAACAGTAGAAGGAAAGCCATAATCGGAATGGAATGAAGCACCACAGTGGAGGGAGGGGAAGGGCCTTATGTATTACTGAGGAGTTACAGGTGAAAATCCTATTTAGTTCTTTACTTTAGAGTTGAACTTAAACTAGCTTCTTTTTAAATGTTTCATTGGATAATGCTAATGTTTTTGTATGTTGCAAATTACGTTTGGAATGTGTGGTAATAAGCAATCAAGGAATTACCACACACAAGGATGTTTTAGAGGAATAATAAAATAACAAGTCCCTTCTCTTTATGAAGTGCTGTTTTTAAGATCTTGCAAATAGGTGATAGCTTTACCTAATGGTCTTTTCTGTTCTCTCTATTGTTATAACTATGTTATACAATAAAATACAAGCTTTCTGGGATATATAAATGTGCTGAATCCACTAGTTCAGATCATAAAGTATGCCTTTGCTTAAATTTGGGACACTAAGATAGATTATCCCCGAGTATTCTGAATATGTTCTTCTTTGCTGGACTTCTACCTTTCCCCCATCTTTATTTTGGGAGACACTAAAGACAGTAGAATCTCTTCCAGTAGATATAAATAACAGTGTCTCCCAAGCTGCATGCCCCCTCCCTCACCACATGAGCCACCCCAGCCCAGGGCAAGTTGTGGCTCAGCTCTGGCTTTGGCCCAAATTTATCTCACATATAGGGTCAAGCACAAACTAAAAATTCAGCCCACCCAAAAGTTGTTCTCAGGAGCACATTCAAAGACTGGGCAAAGCTATCGAAAGGCCTTGTTGCACATTTTACTTTGAGCTGCTCAAATGTTGGTTGAGTTTGGAGCAGTCACACTTTAAGGCTAGCTTGAGTTTAGAGCAGTCAGATCTTTGCTAGGTGTGTCTACATGCGCATTTGATGCAGGAGCTGTTTACTCACGAGCAGGGGGCTTGGAGCTCCTTGCTCTTGGGGCAGGGCAACATTCCCCCCCAAGGCTTCAGCCCAGTCTGGCAGCGGGCAGCTCCCAGGGCCAGGGAGCAATCTCTTGCCCCCTGGTGGTCAGCTGACTGGGAGCAGATTTGCTCCTGGTCAGGTGTCTACATGAGTGCTACTGCATAGTATGTACTTGCAAATAAATTTACTACTTGCATGTACAGGTAGCAAATATATTCACGATTAGTGAGGTTTACTGCGTAGTAAACATGTGCATATGTAGATGCACGTGCGTACTATGTAGTAAACTATGCTACTGTGCACTGAAATGTCTTGTGTAGATGCACCAACTGACTGTTCCCCACCTGCACAGCTGTGATTAGGCACTAGAGAGCTGGTGAGCAGGGGCCTGACTAAGAGTTGCAGCTGTCATTTGCCACTACAGGGCTGGTGAGCCAAGACAGACTTCTCTCCCTGATGGGGGTGTATGAGAGATGGGTTGTGGAAGTCAGAAACAGGAAAATCAGAGGCAGAGAATTAATGGGGTGGCGGTAGATGATGAAATCAGAAGTGGAAAGGAAATAGGGGTGGAGGAGTGTGGTGAAATGAAGTCAGCCAGCTGCTGAAGAATAAAATAAAAGTAAAAAAAAACCCACAGTAAAAAAATATATTAAAGGTCCCATACTTTAATAAATTGGGATCTGAGATTGAGGTGTGGGGTCTGCTGCCTTATGCTTCTTGGGGTGGCTGGGAGGTGGGAGCAATGAGGGAAGAAGGAGTTGACTTTTGGGGGAGTTACTGCCTCTGTTCTGGGAAGGAAGCGCCAGCTCATGGGGATCTGATTTGGTCCTCTACCTTGTTCTCCCGACCAACTGTCCCCATGTGCCCCTAGACTTCACTCCTGGACCCATCCGTGCCCTGCAACTTGGCTAGCTGACATGTTCTCTGCAGAAGTGGTTCTCAACCTTTGGTACCGTTCATACCACCTGCCAATTAATGCAGTGAAAGCAAAACTGGAAGTCCCATCATGACACTTCCGGTTTTGCTGCCATGAGCCGAGTCCCACTTTTCTTGTGAACCTGCCTGCGAGGGGCTCCCCTCCCTGTCCCCTGGCACACTGACTCAAGGGAGTGAAAGCCCCAGCGCACTGAATGCGGTGGAAGGGGCAGTGGCTGGAACTTCTGGCCCAAACAGGCAAAGACACCTCCAACCCGCCAGGTGGGCGGGGGGGGACAGGCCAAACTCAAAACGTGGCACTTACGTACCCCCCGCCTGTATCTCATGTGCCCCCCCACCTGTATCTCATGTACCCTCAGGGGTACACATACCACAGAACCACCCCCTGGGCAGTAGAGTTCAGGGTGTGGAAAGTTTGTGCACACAGAGTTGGAGGCGGGGAGGGGGAAGAGACACTGCATACTGATATGCT